GTTTTTCTTTTACTTTTGTAAAAAATTATAAAATATAAAAGGTTTTTTATTTTATTACACCAAGTTTAAAATTATCTAATTAACAAGCAGTAAATAATAGAATTCTTTTAAGATATTTTGAAAAATTAGATAAGAAAATTTAATAATATATATATACTAATAAAATTGAAGTAATTGCTATATAAAAGGTGTAGCGACTTAGTGAAGTGGTGGAGTTGTCGCACCCCCAGATGGCAGGTCTAGAGTTCAAATCCCATGGATAATGCTTTCTAAAAAGCTAAATCTGTATCGGTTAATGTTAAGATTATCAGTTGGATCCAGATATCTATAATCTTGGTCACACCATCTTGAATGGGAGCTTCGGTGCAATAAATCCAGAAAACTGGAATTACTGAAAACCTGTTTGGCAAGTCCTGAGTGTGGAGTAATAATGAACTTTTATGGTGCTACAGGAAGGCCAAATTTGGAACTGAGGACTGAGACCAAAAAACTAAACGACTAAATCCTTAAGTAGGAGAATATACTAGCTAAACCGCCGGACTGCCAACTGGAAGAAAAGGACTTGTGCTCCGGAAGCTTGTACTAAAGGGAGAATGACTGTAAGCCTGGGCAGACCAACCTTTTCGGGTTGCCAGCTGGAAATAAAAGAGGAACTAGTAAGGAATTCAGAGAAAAAGGAAGTTGGAATATGGATACTGGGGTTGTTGTGAACCTCACAAGAGCAAGGAGTACATAACAGGATCCTAATTAGGAAGGTTGTGGCTTGAGATATGGATCGGGTTACAGCAGTATCCAAAAAGATAGCTTGAGATACGAACCTGATGGTGGCAGCACAACATGTACTAGTTAGGTGAAAGTTACCAGAACATGCAGGTGAATATATGAGGACATGTACTATTCTATTAGATTTACTACAAGGATAAATGCCTAATATGGTTTGGCTAAAGTCTTAGAGTCATCCACGACAATTGCTAATCTCATATGAGTGTTAGGGTAGAGCGTGTTACAAAAGTGGTAGCCAGAAGATTTAAAAATGAGTAACTCTCTAGTTGGGTTATAGGTATGGTAGCTAGTGTGGAACCTAGGCAGACTAATTAAATAGGCAACCAAAAGTTGTATGTATAGCTAGTCATACTCTTGTTAGAAATAACCTAAGAGCTTAAATAGGTAATTTCCTAGTTAAATTGCAAATATGGTAGCTAGTGTAGAACCCAGGCAGACTACTTAAATTAGATACCCAAAAGGTGCATATGTGGCTAGTTGTATCTTCGTAAAATGGATGTAATATCATAACTACCTGAATAAAACTCATGCCAATAGCCTAAGTGGTTACCTTAATATATAAAAAAAAAAATAATAAACTTTAATATCAAATAACTTTTGAACCAGAAAATCCGTTTAGGATGATTTTACTATCAAAATACTCGTCTCAATGAGGTGTTTCTATTGAACCTTAAAAGTTAAAATCTAATTATAAAAACTTGAGATAGTTATAGATTTAGAATCACCTTATTGAGATGAACATTTTGGTAGTAAAATCATCCTAAACGGATTTCTGGTTCAAAAGTTATTTGATATTAAAGTTTATAAAATCTTTAATAATAATTTTTAATATAAATAAAATAATATAATTAAAGTAATATAAATCTATAACAATCTTGGGATCCTGTGATTGATTTTGATGATTTTAAGCTTGTTAGAATCATCTTATTGAGATGAATATTTTGGTAGTAAAATCACTCAAAATGGATAACTGAATCAAAGTTATTTAATATTAAATTTTAAAAATTTTTGAATTTTTAATTTTTTTTTAGCCAATCAAATTGCAGTATTTATGATCAGGTAGGGGGTAGGGGGTAGCCTTTTAGTAGCAAAATATCAGCTGATAAATAGTACTCCCCTAATCATTTAGCAATTTGTTAATGTAGTTATGATGATTTGAATGATTTTTCAAAATGTATTTGGTGTAATGAAGAATGTTGTTCTCAAAGAATATTGGCTTATTATGATAAAAATTCTGGTCCATTTGAATATTTAATTCAACAACAAGATAAAAAAGTTCAAAATAAAACAGGAAAAAATCAATATAAAGATAATATATTAAAGGCTGCAGATGAATGTATAGAAGATATTCTTGTAAATAATTTATCAAAAGAAGAAGCAACTATTAAGTTTGTGAAGAATAATCCTCAATAGGTTATTTAAAGTCCAAACAATATAGCAATTGTTTGTGATACATGTAATAGACTTCTTCAAAAAAAGAAAGATACTGTTCAGAAATGTTGACAACCAGTAGTTTTTTTATTTATATAGACCAGGAGGATCTAGAAAACTGGTTTGGTTTCAGAATTATTTGATAGTAAATATTTTGAAAAACAAAAGAAACAATATGGTGGATCAAATTTTTGGAATAGTTATAAAGGTTAAGAAATTGTATTTTTTGATGAATTTTATACAAAAATTGATTGGTCAGATATGATGAATATTTTAAATAATACAGCATGTTTTGTGGAAATTAAATATGAGACATATAAAGGTTTAATTAAAGCAAAATATGTATTTATAACAAGTACAAAACTACTAGAAAAACTTATAATTCTGAACAATGTGATAATGAGAATGAATAAATATGATTATAAGCAATTTAATCATTGATTGGATTTTGTTATTGAATTTCAAGGAGAATGGGATGATAATCTTGAAAAATGTACAACTCAAATTATTTTTCATAAAGGTTCAGAATCTGATTTTTGAAATATGAATTAGTTGGTAAAATTTTGACTTTGAGGATTAACAGATAAGGAATTATAAAAGAAAATTCTATAATTATCTAATAGATTTGAAGAATCTATTGTTGAGAAAGATGAACAGATATATTGGTATTATCATTTTTCAGAATATTAGAAAAAATATCTTTGTGATTATCCAAATTCAAGACGTCTTAATAAATATTGTCTTGAATGTAAACAATTATCTATAACTAATCAAATAAAAGATTCTTAAATAGAATCTTCTAATCAAATTAAAGAACTTCAAAAGAAAATTTATCTAACGATCAACAAGAAGAAGATTTATTTATAAATTCTGAACAAGAAATTGATATCGATTTAGAAAATTCAAATTATTCACATAAAAGAAAACAAAATCAATTAAACAAACAAGCAAAGAAAAAGAAAGTTATTTATTTTTCTGATTAAATATAATATTTTATTTAATAATATATAAATAATATATAATATAAATATAAATAGATAAGTTATTTAGTTACAAATTTTAATAAATCATTAAAAAGTATTGTTAAAATTAAAATAGTCAAAAAATAAATTGTTATCTAAAGTTGAATTGATTACATTATTGTTATAATCAACAAAATTAAAATAATTATAATTATAAAAAGAATTATTTTTATTAGTGAGATTTGTAGTTAAATTTTCATTAGTAACTTTTAATTTGTTAATGATTTTTGATTCAGAAGTTTTAAAATTTTCATCTGTATTATTAGTATCAGTATCAGAATTAGAATTTTCTTTAATAATTTCAACAATTTCATTGATGTTATTGTTGATGTCAGAATCTTCTTCAGAGATTTTATATGTTTCATTAGTAAAATCGTTAATAATTTTGATTTTTCTATCATCGATTAGTATATTTTGAATGGATTATCTAATTTTGTATTCTTCTTCTTTAAGAATATCAAGTTCATGTTTTTCGATAATCATGTCTTTAATCTACAAAAGCCAAGATTTGATTTTATTTCTTCTTTTTTTTCTTCTCATAGTTTCTATTTTAATTCAGAAAATTTTTTTTGATTTTTATGATTTTTTCTTTTAGTTTATTTTTTTTTGAACTTTCTCCTAGATATTTTTCTTTACCTGTTTCTCTTTTTAAATAGTATTTTGATTGTTGGTGTTTAGGCATTTTGTTTTAATGATCATTTGAGTTAAATTTGAGTATTTTTAAATAAATTTATTTTAGTTGTACTATAGTTTTTAATTTATCTAATATAAATTAAGATTTTTCCATATTTATTCTTAAATTCTTAATTTGATTTTAACTATTTTTAAATTTGGGTTTGATTTGTAAGAGGATTTTGATTGGTGCTTCAAAGTACTCAGTTTTTTTTTAAAACATACTCAGAATTTTATACATCTGATTGGCCAAATTTCAAAGCACTCAGTTTTTTTTAAAAGATACTCAAAATTTTATACATCTGATTGGTTAAATCTTAAAGTACTTAGTTTTTTCCAAAAGATACTCAGAATTTTATATGTCTGATTGGCCAAATCTTAAAGTACTCAGTTTTTTTCAAAACATACTTAGAATTTTATATGTCTGATTGGAAATATATTGATATTTATTTATTAATCAAATTTTAAAGTACATTTTCTAACAATTTTCAAATTTATATTTTGAAGATTTAAATCGATAATACTATTATTAATATTTAAACTAAAATAATTAATTTTTTGTTTTTAACTATTTTATTTTTTTTAGTAATAATCCTATATTTATTTGTTTGAATTTGTAATAACGCTTGACCTGTTTCAATTATTTTAATAGTTTCTTCATTATTTTCATTAAAATCTTCAACTTTTGTCAGTTTTGGTACTTGAATAATTGAAGTTTCATTATTTTGAGTTATTAAATTATTAGATTTTTCTTTCATTCATTGAATTTTATTAGTTTTTTTTTAATTTGTTATTTTCATTGTTCATTTTGTATCATTGCTGAATTATATTCTTGATGATAGTATTTGGCAAAATAGTTTTTAAAATTTGTTAAATTGGTATTGATAAGATAATTTGCTTCGCAAATATCACAAATGAGTCTTGTTTTGAGAGTATTAGTGTAAAAATATTTGCGAATTTTGTAAGTATTTCTCATGTTGTTTAAAAATTTATAAGTAAGAAATGATTTTCATAAAATATTTTATAAATTATTAAATTTAATTATTTTCAAATTTGTATTTTATGAATAAGGAAGTTCAGTGAACTTCTTTATTCATACAATATGAATTTGGTTATTTAATTCTAAGAATCTATTTATCATAAATTTGAATTTAAGATATTTCTAAATTTATTCTAGAAATTAATTTTAGATTTTAGGTATTTCTATTTCTATAGAGTTTATCTGTTATTAATATAATTTTATATAAACAATCTTAAATTATGTTTTTTTGATAAATATGACACATCATATTACATCTGTGTATAATTTTTGTTAGATTAAAAAAATTTGGTATGATGGTATTAAACTATGTTATCAATATAAAAAAAGAAAAGTTAAGTGTATTTATGAAGAATATTGTAAAAAATGTGAACCTCAATCAAGAATTGAAAAACAAAAAACTTCTATTTTAGTTCAAGTAAAGGGAAAACAGTTTTTTAATTCCATTCATAAAAGTAAAGCTGCTTTAAGTTTTATTTTAAATAAGTAATAAAATTGTTTATTAAACTGATATATTTATTTATAATTATAAATAACTTCAAAAAATTTACATTTAAAATATATAAAATAATATATATATATTTTTTTTAGATTTTTTAAAATCTAAGTTACTACCTGTTAAATATTTATATTTTTTACTTATGATTTAAAGCAACAAGTTTTAAAAAAAATTAATCTTTCTAATGAAATAAAAAAATTTGTTGCTTTTTTTGGACATATAAATTTTTCATATAATGTGATTTTAAAAATAATACATTCCCAAAAATTTAATAATAGTCTTTTTTCTTTTTTCATTTTACTGATTTGATTTATTATTGTTAGATTTATTATTGTTAAAGATTTGATATGTTCAAATAATAAATCACTAACATTTTCTTCAATAATCTTCAATTTAAAATATTGTTTGAATAATTTAATAAATATTTTTTCAAATTCTGTTTTTATAGCACTATTTATTAAACATAAACTATTACATATGTATTTAGAATAATTTTGAGAAGTAATATTACTCCTATATGTTTGTGTTATTTTTTTAAAAATGTCTTTGGTATAAAAATTAATTATAATAAAAATAACTTCTAAAGGAAAATTAAAGGTTATTTTTACTATTATCTATTTTTTTTATCATTTAAATCTTTATTTTATACCAAAATATAAATTAATAATATGCCAAATTCATATTTTATAAATTTGGACTAGTTTCATCTTTCTGCTAACCAAATTCATATTTTACAAATTTAGATGTAAATTAGTAATTTGCCAAATTCGTATTTTATGAATTTGGCCTAGTCTTATTTTTTTGTTAACCAAATTCGTATTTTATGAATTAGAAAGTTCAATGAATTTTCTTAGTTGTATTTTATGAATTTGGAATTATTATCAAATTTGCGTAAAATTTACTTTATAGAAACTTGTAAATTTTTGACGATGTTGTTACGATATAGTGACGATGTTATTGCAATATAACTACAATTTAGAAAAAATTTTGTAGTGATTTATAATGCAACGATATTTTTACCTCATAGCTATTACATCATAACTATAGCACAAAAATCTAGTAACGATTTTGTTAAGATTCCATAATGATTTTGATAATAAAATCGTTATGATATTACGACAACCTTAATACAACTACACAAAAATCTAGTAACGATTTTATTAAGATTTTATACCAATTTTGATAATAAAATTGTTATAATATTATGATGACCTTAATACAACTATGCAAAAATCTAGTAACAATTTTGTTAAAATTCCATACTGATTTTAAAAAATTAAATTGCTACGATATTACAATGATCTTTCTACAGCTACACAAAAATCTAATAACAATTTTGTTAAGATTCTATAATGATTTTGATAATAAAATCATTATGATATTACGACGACCTTAATACAGCTACACAAAAATCTAGTACCGATTTTGTTAAAATTTCATAACGATTTTGATAAATTAAATTGCTACGATATTATGACGATCTTTCTATAGCTACACAAAAATCTAGTAACGATTTTGTTAAGATTCTATAACGATTTTAAAAAATTAAGTTGCTACAATATTACGACCATCTTATTACAACTTTTATTAGATCTGGTGAAGATTTAATTATCAAGTTGCCACTATTACTTTATTATGATTGTTATTTGATTTTATGACAATTTATTTCAAATCAGTGTTGGCAAAAA